GCCTGTTTTTAACAAAAGCATAATCATGCTCAATTTCATAATCATATCTATTTATACATAAATAGGCTAGATGAGGTCAGTCTTAATTCATATGAGAGGGGAGCCAGCTAGGCTCGTTCGAATCCATCAGGTTAATTAAATTGCAATCCAAGGGACCTTTGAAGTCCGAAAATGCCTATAAATAACCCGCAGGGCGAATCTCGCATCATAACCACACCCAAACACGCTCCACACCTAGCTACGACGGCAGAGGTAGAAATGGGGGGCTGGGCTATAGCCGTGCACGGTGGCGCTGGTGTCGACCCTAATCTCCCAGCCCACCGTCAAGAACAAGCCAAGCAACTTCTCACTCGCTGTCTCCAACTCGGCGTCTCTGCTCTAAATTCCAATCTTCCCGCCATCGATGTCGTTGAACTTGTCGTATGTACATCTTCATTTCTCTGCAATCCCATCTTCATCCCAATCTCTCTCCATGAAATCAACACGTTAATTAGCGAATCCCGTTCCGATCATGCGTTCATATTGCATGGCTTGAGTAGTCACAAAGTCCGATTATTACAACCGCCGTCCCATGCATATAGATATATGTGCTCTTTTACAGTTTACATTGTTGAATAAGATATTAATTCTATGATATGAATATATAGCTAGCATCGTATTCGTATCAGGCATTGGTTGATTTTATTTATATTTATATGGTGAATGTGATAGGTGAGAGAACTGGAAACGGATCCACTGTTCAACTCGGGGCGCGGATCTGCGCTGACAGAAAAAGGGACAGTGGAAATGGAGGCCAGCATCATGGACGGTACAAAAAGAAGATGCGGTGCAGTGTCGGGCGTTACCACCGTCAAGAACCCCATATCGCTGGCCCGCCTGGTCATGGACAAATCCCCTCATTCCTACCTCGCCTTCTCCGGCGCTGAAGAATTTGCCAGGCAGCAGGTTCGTCCATCCCTGCTTCCTGTTTTTACCCATTCTTCACACCCTCTTCTTCAATCGTCTCTCCATCCACTTCTGAGGTTTCATCGCTAGAAAAAGTCTCCCGCTTTTGCCATGTCACCCACTTCATCATTTCGTTTCCCATATATGACTATATTTACATGGAACTCTCGGTTGTTGCCTCGTCGTATGCGCGGTGTTTCCGTACCTATTTAAGAACACAAATAAATCAGAAATAAATAAATCTGATTTTTTTATTAATACGATGGTATCGTGTGAAATGTGCAGGGTGTGGAAACAGTCGACAACGAGTACTTCATCACTCCTGAAAACGTTGGCATGCTCAAGCTGGCAAAGGAAGCGAATGCTATTCTGGTACCGCTCTTTTTCTGCCCGTAAAATAACAGAATCATCGGAAATTTCAAACAAGACTCATGTATATATTGGGCGCAGTTTGATTACAGGATCCCATCGGCTGGCAACGAAACGTGTGGTGCGGGGGTAGAGAGTCCACTGCAAATGAACGGACTGCCCATCAGCATATACGCGCCGGAGACGGTGGGGTGCGTGGTGGTGGACGGACAGGGATGCTGTGCGGCGGGGACGTCGACGGGAGGGTTGATGAACAAAATGACAGGACGGATCGGGGACTCGCCGTTGATCGGTGCCGGGACATACGCGGGCGAGGTGTGCGGCGTGTCGTGCACGGGAGAGGGGGAGGCCATCATAAGAGGGACACTGGCGCGTGAGGTGGCGGCGGTGATGGAATACAGAGGACTGAAACTTCAGGAAGCAGTTGACTTCGTGATAAAGGAAAGGCTGGACGAAGGGATGGCGGGTCTGATTGCCGTGTCCAAGAGCGGCGAAGTTGCGTACGGCTTCAATTGTAATGGCATGTTCAGGGGATGCGCCACCCAGGATGGCTTCATGGAAGTAGGAATCTGGGAATAGAGATTTATATGCTGCATCTATCACTATGATTCTAATATTATTCCTCTTTGCGTTAATTTGCTCTCTGCTGGTCTTATATCTTTCATTATTCCAAGCAGGGTCCTTCGGTTAGCTTTTTGTTCTCTGTAACGCAACAATCTAATGTTAAATAACAGCTGTTTAATTCTTTTCCTCACAATATAAACTCCTTCTTGTTTCTTTAAATTTTGAACTTTGATTCCGGATTATGCATCAATTAGCTTCCCCCTTTACATCTGAAGGCGTCAGGCCTGCGGCATATAATTAAGGAGCAGTTTGCGTTAATTATTATGTGTACCTGAAGCGGACCAAGGGGAAAAAACAGCCTCTGTGATAAGGCAAGGCAAAGGCAAGCGGGGGGGTGTACTGCTGAATAGTAATGGCTTAATTTGAAGAATGAATAGGGTTATGTTATTGTCATCAGGGGAATGCCTCTAGCCAAAAATGCAAATAAAATAGTGGTTGTGGTTGGTAGGATATGCAGTTGCCTAAAACAGTAAAACATGTCGGTCTCAATAATGAATATTACTCTGAATATAAAATCCTTATACACACTTATATAAGGGTCTTATATTTAGGACCGGAGGAGTATTAAAAAGCAAGCACGCATGCGGGCCATATAATGTTTTTGGAATTGTCTCAGCGAATTCTCATGCATGTAATTCTCCCATGTCCATGGAAATGATCTTCCCGAGTCACATGATTACACGAGTTTTTTAAATTGACAGGGACACACTAATTAATGGTTCATGTTCGCCTTGATGCTCATCCGATCCTGCCATTACATGACAATTACTACTCCGTCTCTAGTTATAAGAACTTTTTGGCCAAATTATGCTTTTTAAGAAAACAGTTAAAATTAGTTAAAAACAATTAATATGTAACAAATATAGGTTTTTTTTTCAAATATACCCCTAATAAATGTAAAAGAGTAATAATGAGATAAATAGAGAGAGAATATAATATACGAAATTTATTAGGGATAAAATAGGTAATAATGTATTAAATATTCAGACAAACTCAAAAGAAACCTTATAAAAAGAGACATTTATTTAAAAAAAGGATTTTATAATTAGAGACGGAGGGATTATGATATAACTTAAGCATGGATGTGTATTCATCAACAACGACAACAAAAGTAAAACTATTTAAGACAAAAACGGAGGGGGGGAATTTGTTTTCGTCGTCATCAACAACAAAAAGTTTCATTAAACCCAATGAAGTTGTCTATTTAGAATTCACGACACCATTCACCTATCTACTTTTCAGATGTCACTCTTATATAATCATTCAAACAAATAATGCAATTTAGAAACAATTTTAAGATGATGAACTGGAGTGTATTTACATATAAAATTATAATTAGTATACCAATCGTCAATCAGTACAAAACTTATAATTTATAATAATCTAACGATCCCTTAGAACTTAATTAATATAAATTTTTATCAAAAAATATTTTTAATAACAAGTTTCAATTCATGTAATTCATTTTTCCAAATTTCATATGTGCATGCACGTCCAGTGTTTTTTTTTTTTTGGGTGTCTTACATTATTTGTCGAAGTTTCAGTGCGCAAGCCAGGAAGAATGGGCTATGAAAGAGAGGTATGCATAGGACGGCGGCCACATGAAACAGTAAACTTTATCAATGGGGTCTATCTTTGCCTGTCTTGTATTTTTCACAAAAGCTGCCATGTAAAAAGACGAACTGCAAGATTCGTGGCCGGATTCATAAGATGATTGCTTCAATTATATATAACCCTCAGGCCAATATATATATACTTCTCCGATTCTTATTATAAGATCCAATTTGACTTTTTATTTGGTCCTAATTATAAGACCCAATTCATTTTGTTTCTTATATTTATGCATTTTTTTCCAAGATAATCCTTCTAATAATGATAGTTTTAATCAATATACTTAATTAGTAAGGATATTTTAAGAATGACAACACTTATTTATTATAAATAACCAACTTAACTTACTTCCTTAATCTCCTCAAATAAGTCAATTGGGTCTTATAATTAGGACCGGAGGAGTATATATATAAAACCCGCGAGATGTAGCTACATTATACATAAACCTAATTAATTAAAAGTAGTTCTATATGCTCAACAATTCCGGGAGCTTAATTAGCGTATTAAACTGTGAAAGCTTGCACGTATCAAATTAAAGTAAAATACGGGATCGCGACACGATCAGTTTGAACTCGATTTAGCTGCAATGGATGTCCAAGTACTGCCGTGACAAACTAAAACAGGAGCTGAAAACTGATAGGACTCATATTTATGACGGTCCGTTCTATGAAAGTTTCTATAAATTATCGTTCACTAGAATCCTTGCAGAGTTGCAGGGTAAAAGTTGGACGATATACACAAATTAATACGCGCAAAAATGACTTGATCTTCCGAATAAACGATTAGATTATTGAAGCTTTTTTTAAATTAAATATCAGTACCTATTGCATCCATAATCCTCACTGGTCGCGGACGATTTGACTGGGATTTGAATTGATGAAGTTTATCAACATGACATATGCATGTATATCTCTTAATGTTATCAAAATAACATTAATGAGCACAAAACACCCGTGTTGTTAAAGTCAATCTGTTGACACCTGGTGGAGGCGGTTGCTGCTCCTTCCTCCACCTATCAACCTCATCCGAAAACACGTCAACACGTTTGCTGCTTCTTCTACGCTTATAAAATAATGCGACACTTATCTTCAATCCAAATCAACACGTTCATGTAAGATCTAAATAGCATACTATGTTTATTGTTAGCACATTCGTCCGTGATTATCCGTACAGACAAAGTCAACACAGGCGCGTGTAATTATTTCTTACTCGTGTAGCCGTGTTCTGGTGTTCTCGACAATCAGGGGTATGACGTTGGATGGAGCGCATTTTTTGAGGTTTAATTATGACTCGATCAGGAATTCCATTGGCGTGGAAGGTCACTGGATGAAAATGAGCTTAATCACACACACGCACACACACATATTGAAGACAGTAAATTAAACATGCATATTATTGATGGGATTCATAAATAAGTAAATGAATAGTGAAATCAGAGGCAAATGCAGATATGTATATTTAGACGTAGGAAAAGGAGGGCTAGTGGTGAGGCAAGGTTGGGTGATGGGAGTAAGAGGCGAGATAGGCACGAGCCAACTTGACGCCCAAGTGAACCTGAGACATAGTGGTGAGGTGAAGCCTGTCAGATTTGAGGCGCAATCCCTTGGCATCCACGCACTTCACATTCGGCAGCTTCATCCCCACTTGAGCCTCTCTCACCCTCTGTATGTATCTGCCTTCCCCTGATGCCACTGCCACCTGCGTCAATATGTTTCCCATCCCCTTCATTTCTCTTTCTTTATTGTTTTACCGTCCAATCAATCACTGCCATTCACTTTATGTCTTACCTTTATTTCGATTTCACTTCTATTTGTTCATTAAGTTTTCTTGTTGTCTCTCAAATGATTCTATATCTACTTAATTATATAAATAACATTACGGGCGCAAAAACAGTTTTTGAATATAGTAATGTTTGTTGGGCCAAAAACATTTTCAAATGTTGATATTTGATGACGCTAGTTGGGTTTATTGGGTCTGTCGTGTTGTCCAGTTGGAGGGCATTTGGGAGAGTTTGAAATGAGACAGACTTTAGAAAGGAGCAAAAGAACGTTGGAGGAAAAGGCAGACCTTCACATGAAATCAAGGCTCAACTTACAAGCCTTGTTGGCATTCACAGGCCGCGTGCCTAAGACACATACTAACCAACAAAAATAATTATTATGGCACAACAGCGGCGTGACATTTCAAATCATTTTGGAGGGTGAAGCACCGTCGTCAGAAAAAGTCATTGCATCCCCTAAAGTCTAATCGGATATTAAAATATAACGAGTCACTGTGAAAAAAAGAAGGAGAACGGCTAACTAACCTGGATAATGAGGAGAGAAGGAAGTTGAAGATCAGAACGGAGATCCGTGAAGAAGCTCTGCAAGCGAGCCTTATAAGAGTCTGCGTCCTCTTTTCTCACCGTGTCGCTCTCACCTTGATACCACAGAAGTGCTCTAACAGTGCCACCCTCACTCACAGAGCGATTGGCTCGCTGTATGAGCTGGGTATACAAACGGGATCCTCGGCTCCACTGCGAAATTCGAGTCCCACCGGCTGCGCAGGGGACCAGACCCACCGTACCACCCGCCCATCCAATGACGTGGTTGGCAAAAGCCATTGCGGGGCCTACGCCGCAGGTGTTGCCCACGTCAATGCCAGCGTGGAGAGGCTCGTGTGCTTCCTCCCATTGCAGCTGAGCGTTCAGTCTCCAGATCGATGGGTTGGGTCGGCACTCCGGCGGCAGATTGCCGTCCCATTTGCCTCCCTGAACGCCGCCGCGGCCCGCCATGTTGCTCTGTCCTCCCAGTATAAATATGTCCTTCGTCTTGGCCGCTGCCCAGAGTGACGACGAATGGCTTAGTATTACCATTCCCGCTACTAACAACCATGACGCACAGGACCTGAGCGCCATCACTGAGATGATTCAATTTCCGTTGCGTTGTTAGAAACTCAAACTCCAAGCCCTCTTTAATGCCTCTGCTGCTCCGTCTTATCTCTCTTCGAGAAAGTCACTTTCTCAGTAGCAATGTGGCCATCATCAATTGCCATCAACGTAACACATAGCAAAGCATTGTCAAAGGGTAAAATTTTATCATCATCATTACGGTACGCTCTCCGGCACAGACCCTTGAAAATGATTGAAGTGGCAAGATTCGTTCAGCATTATTATTTCACATATATAAAATAATGATTGACAAATATTTCAATGAAGCAAATTTATAATTATTTATCAAATTCAAAATGTTGTCAAAATGATGCATGGACAAGAAGTATTTTAATACACGCTTGTCTATAGGCCTACATATCCTATATTACTAACTCGCTTTTTTTTTTTAAAGGAAATTCGGGTGGGGGGGACTTCTTCAGAGATAAGCTTTCGGGTATGCGCAGTGCGCTTTGCTTCCTCCAAGTTCCGATGGGGCCCATAAAACGGCCGCGGCACATGCGTGCGCCAACGCCTTTCAAATTTCATTGAAGCCTCCCATCCATCAAAAGGACATACATGTGGATCCAAAAGGTAAGTCCATTAATTAATATTAGATGGTAATAGAACGACACTAGGATTCGAAGAAGAAGAGAATTGATGTTATTGAGAAATAGAATGTTGCGAGACTCAACTTTCTTGTTGGGGACCAGTATATCTGGAGTAGAATACTGTGTATACATTAAGATTTGCAGATAGAGAGTTAATGCATGTCTGGTCATTCTCCATTGCAGGTGGGAAGTACATAAAAGTAAGTAGTTCCACATCCCCGAGACCTTACATGATGGGATGCGAAAAAGGCCGTGCGATCCTAAATTCCCCGTCAAGTGCCTTCCTCATAATGTAATTCCCGCTCGCCGTCCCCTGTCCATAATAATCACAAGTCCCACCGAGTTTCACCATCGTCAACTCCCTCAAACGCCACTGCCATTACCGTTCCCTCAATGTGGGACTTGTTGATAAAAAGGGGATGGATGCTAGCCTACGGGGCTTAATTATGAAGGTAGTAAAGTTGGAATGGTACATTATCATCCCCATATTGGCAAATACAGGCGACTCGTACATTAAGAGAGGGAAACTAGTTAATGTTCTGATGCTTTAGTCAGCTGGAATTCAGCTGAAAAATAGGATCTTGCAACTCAACTTGCTTCGTGCCGACCAGCATCTTTGGAGAAGAATACTGCATGTACATTATGATGTGCTAATGCAGGATTAATTTGCAGTCATTCTCCACTGCAAGTGACTGTAGTACATAGATAAGTCAGGTCCAGTAACTCAGGAATCCAGACATACAGATATGGACAAGGAATTGAACAAAAGCGAGTCCTGCTTTTCCTTTTGGGTTCAGATATATAATGCTCTCGCCGGGACCTTACATACGATACCTAAAACAAAAGGCCATGTCTTCCTCATAATTTAATCCCAACGGCCCCCTCTGTCAGTAATGATCGCACTTCCCTTCAACCTCATATTCCCCCCATGTGGCTGTCTTTCATTCAACTAGGGACCAATCATCCACCCCGATAACCCCTCATGCCCCACTTTCTCCCGTATATGATAAAATATACTGTTGCGGACACATTTTGTACATATATTTTATTTTAACAGCACATAATTCACTAAGTTTACCAACGGTGATCGTGTTTATTGTTGCATGGTGAGAAGTAAAAGTTCTTCTGCCTTCGTTTTTGTTTTCCTCAAAAAGAGAGACGTTTTACAGCTATACTTTTCATAGACGAAGTCTTGTTGCGTAAGGGAATAATAGTAAGAAAAATCACAAGGAGAAAGGGAGGGGGAAAGGACTATAAGAAAACTGGGAAGAAGAGGAAAATTAAGATGGCACGTGCAAAATTAGAAGAAGGCCTTTCAGGGGGAGGAGCCTTGTTAGGGTGAGGAGCTTGAGCAGGCAATGGAGTGGGTAGGAAGCGAAGGAGTTCGTCGGCCATCATGTGACCCAGATGGACCTGGGCTGGGCTCGACAGATGAAGCCCATCAGGCTCGAGTGGCAAGCCCTTGGCGTCAACGGTCCTCAGGTTCAGAAGGTCCATCCCTAATTGGGCTTCTCTCACCGTCTCCACGTATGGGCCAATACCCGACGCCAGAGCCACCTGTCAACCAAAAAACACTATTGTTGTATCATTATCAGCTAACTACCCCCTGACAAATACATGTTACTTAATTATTAATACAACACACACTAGTGCAGTTGGTGTTCCACATTAGTCTCTTTTGTTGAGTATATCACGCTTTCTTTATTAGGAACGTTCAGCCCATCCACCCTACACGTTTTCTTTTGTACCATTTTAAAATGTTTGTTATTTCATTCTGTTTATGATTTATCAATCGTGTGGTTTGTTTAATATTTACATGTCGATGATGGTTTTTATAACGGAATAATACATCTGAAGAAGTCAGCACGATTGGTTGACTAAGAAGAATCAGGAGTAATGCCGTCTAGGAAGGCGCAATCAACAAGACTATTTCTATAAAAACTATGAATTCAAAAGACAGGCGGTGATAGGCTAACTTATTTGCAATCCACTATGATGAAATCTGGTCGGGTTATATTACCATATTTAATTTGGCTATATTACGGTCTAGATCATATTGATTTCCCTATATTTCATTCTGGATTCATGAAATTCTCAATTGTTATACCGCTCCTGCTTGACGTAAATGAGGTAATTCAATTAGTTATATCATAAAAATTAAAACAAGATATTGCCGTTGAATCTGTTAGCGTGGATTAGGGTGAGGGAAGACCCCATCCCTGTAAATGGGTGTTTGTACTTAGCCGGGACCGCTTCGTTGTCAGTATCGTATTATTATACCTAGTGTGTACCAGACGCAAAACAAATGGCCACGGTGGAAATTATACTGAAGTATCCAGCAAGAAAGGAACACCTGTCTCAATCAAAGCTATGTCTTCCTATTTTTCTTTCGTTTTTTAGTTTGTTAGTGGGAGGGGGTTGGCGTGAAAATCTCTTCTCAGCACCCTAAAGATCTGAGCGTCTTAATTTCCTTTTCGGTTTCATATATACCAATTTGCAGTATGATCATAATTAATAAGCAGGGCGGACCTATGAATGCCATGCCTATGTGTCGAAGGCACGCCAAAGAAATTGTTTCTAAGCATACTAAAAGAAAGAATAAATAAATGAAATTAATGAGGAGATTAAAAGAAATAAAAATAAAATAAAAAGAAGACCTGGACGATAGGAAGCAACGGAGACTGGAGGTCAGCACGAACGTCGGAGAAAAACTTGCGGAGTCTGGAGCCGTATGCCTGAGCATCTGTGAGATTGATAGTGTCAGATTCGCCTTGATACCACAGCAACGCACTGATACTTCCACCACTTCCCACCGATGCCTTAGCTCTCCTCATCATATGATTGTACAGCTCTCTTCCTCGTTCCCATTCGCTTATGTTTGTGCCTCCTACGGCGCAAGGCACCAGCCCCACCACCGCCAGTTCAGGCTTCTTCTTCAAGATCCGATTCGCGAATGCCATTCCGGGTCCGATCCCGTCCGTCTTCGTCACGTCTATGTCCCGATGCAGCGGCTCCTCCGCCTCCACCCAATCCAATCCAGCGCTCAGCCGCAGGATGGAAGGGTTCTCACGGCACTGCGCCGGCACCACCCCGTCCCACGGCAGGCTCACGTTCGCCACGCCTCCCCTCCCGGCCATGTTGCTCTGTCCCGCCAGTACAAATATGGTTTTCTGCGCTTCCACTTGAGGCCTCACTGACCCTCCCTCTGTTACAATTATTACTCCCAGCAACCAAAACAAGAGGGAGGGCATCCTCGTGGGTAGAGATGGTCGCCTGCTGTATTCTGATCTGTTGCCGTTTCCCAAATCTAAGACGCTACTCAACTTTATGGAAACTATATTCGGGCACCACCCCGTACCTCTCGATATCGCAACGTGATCCAATTTTTATTTTTGACTTTTTTTTAGCCTATTTTGCGGGGCATTTTGTTACCAGCATCAAATAGATTCAGGATTTCCCACACAATTTGGCTGGCGTCTTCTTTATTTTATTCCTATCCTTAAATATATGTTTGATTCCCTTTAAAATACATGATGAAGATTAGTTATATTAGATTTCAACAGATCAGAGTAACAACATTTAAAACATTCTACATTTATAAACAATAAAAATGATTATTTTATTAATTTTATCAGAATTGGTTTTTTTTTTAATTTTGGATTTTGGATCACCGTAAAATATTAATATTTTTTCATTAAATTTTTGTTATCCAATTTCTTTGAATTGCATAAAATTTATTAATAATAAAATAGGAAGTGGGCCGATGTTGATTAAACCCACATTCAGGTGGCCCTGGGACCGTATGGGGCAATGGCCATGCGCATGTGTAAGAGGCGCATATCCACAGGCCTGCTTGGAATAATTTAGAAGCATTTTTTTTTAAATTGTGATTTATGAAAATAAATATGTGAGAAAAAAAAATTATCTTACTTATAACTTTATAAGTCGTTAATCCAAACAGGTCCGAGAGCCGAATGAGCGATTACGTCACCATGTACCTGCTCCTCCCACAGCTATCCTTGAAAACTCACTCAAGTTGACGGGTCATCTCGAACAAAGTCAATATCCATCTAAATTAACTAATTGATTCATGAACTTGTGCCCGCTTTGTCATCTGTATTAAGATACTTTAATCGAAACTAAACAAACCTCCCTCGTCAAGTTACCAAGAGTCTATTTACCTTGAGAGGGTAGAATATATGTTCTTCAAACACTTAATTAAAAACATCTATGTTCACTCAATCAATTAAACTCATCTGGTCTCCTTGCTTTCTCCTCAATTCAGTATAACCCGTTTGTAAGTTGTAGAAAAGCGAACCTATAGAAATGATAGTTGACAATAGCAAAAGGTCCGAGTTTTGAAGGCTGCAGGACTCACAGCCGGTCACCAAGTGAACGGTGCACGCAAAATTTGATAGTTTAACATAGCTCTACAGGATTGCATCAACACGTGATTAACCGAAGCTAACC